ACTAATAGCACTCTTCTTCTACCTCAAGAAGATACGTGTATATGGAGAGTTGGTGACCTTTCACAATATGTTTTCATTTAGTTCTTCATTCTGGAAGTCTCCAGTACGTTTCTGTAACATCTGCTTTTTTTGAAGCTACATAAAAGCAGTGGGGTTAAAGTACAGGCCTCAAGCAACAGCGTGTTTGGCTTGGAGGATTGTAGCATACATCTTGCTTCAGATTTATATTAGCTGTGGTCTGCAAATGTAAAATTTTTTTTATTTTTTTATTTTTGGAGAAGAGAGCAGCTTTCCTGTCTAGTCTGTTGTATCCATAGGTCTGAAAGGTCTCCCAAGATCAAAGTAAGTGCTTGCCTCAGGCAGCAGATGTGGGGAGATGAAAATGGGAACAAGGAAGGTACCTCAATGGTGGAGGAGAGACAGAAGCTGTACAACTTTTCTTTGGAGTCTTTCAAAATGACTTCTTTGTCTGCCTTGAAATTCAAAGAACCGAGAAGGGACAGCTGACAAGCTGCAGTCTCTGGCTGGAGTGAAGCCTGCAGTTAGTCCCCCTGTCTTGTGTTTGCATAGATCTGGGCAACAACTAACAGCACAAATTGAGGACTGCATCTGGTGTGCAAAGATAAGGTTTCTGGAGAGGTGCTTAGCTCTGGCTTTGTGCTGCCCAGTGAAGGCAATGATCACTTGCTGCTTCTGAAGAACAAGCAGGAAGCTTGGTCAAACTGATGCTTTCAAGTCTTCAAGTGACCCTGCAGTTCGTGGCTCAGAAAGGGGTTATATTAATAACTCTTTTCCCTGAACACTCTTGTGGGTTATTGAAAGGCCAACAGGGTGGTTCATGATGTCTTGGACCCTTATGAGGCAAGGCTGCATCTGACTATGACCTGGAGGTGAGTTGCTCTTCCCCTTTCTGTGTGATGGAGGGAACAGCAGCAGCACCTCAGTGCTCAGTGCTTGGCAGGGCTGTACCACCAAGTGTTTTGGCTGAGATGCTGATCAGCAGCTGGTCATTGGCACTGCATTAACGGAGGGGTCTTCCTGCAGCCACCTCAACCCTCCTGCTGTCTGTTTGCTCAGTTTAAGGCCAAACCTCAAATTGCCAAAGCCTTTATTTGTTAGGCCTACAACAGGGCAGTAATTGCTGCCGTCTTCCCATCTTGCAGGTCACAGGGATTTCTTGAATGCACTAGGTAATGGTTCATTGCAGTGGCTGGTTATTTTATTGGTGAAGATGGGAAAAAAGAATTATCCTGGAGGAAAGCACAGGGGAGGAAGCAGCAGTTTAATAATTCATCCTTGAATGCTGACAGTTCAGATTAGAGGACTATTCTACCTAGGGAGGGAGAAGCTCTTCTTGAACCGTAAATCTCCCCTACCCTCGTGGGCTGATGAGGCATGATCAGTCTCAGGGACAGAGGACCAGACTGAGGCTTTGAAAGTCTTTTACCCAGACTGCTCACTGTTTGTTGCGTGACACCATGGGTAAGTCACCTCAATCCTCTCAAAGAGGGTACGAGCTTCTCAGCAGGCTATTAACTCAGGTGTCTGCGACAGTCTGTGCTGAGAAATAGAGAGCCCAGCCCTATCTGAACTTGTTGTAGCTGGACTTGTAACAGGATTTATGCACCAGTAGCACCTTTTTCTCTACCTGCTGCTGGGGCAGTTAGGATTACTCCTCTGAATATCTCTCTCCTGCACATCCCTCTGCTTGTTCTGGGAACAGCCAGATGCAATTCAGTCCTCGGAGCACAGCAGAGCTGCAGAAGGAGGCACTGAACAAGGTGACAAAAACTTGAGAATAATGTGTTTTACTGAGGGAGGACAGCAGGCAAGCCTGTTGCTCTTGGCCTGTACTAGCTAGACAAAATACAAATAGAAATGGGGTGTCTTGGATCGTGCCTGCCTTTCTGTCTGCTCTGTCGTGGTGATGCAGGTGTTGGTTGGCCTCTCCCTCTGCATCAACACAACTTTATGCTTGCGTTGGGCTGGTTCCTGCACCGTGAAGGTAGACTAATGAAATATTAAATGAAAAATACTGGCCTCCTTTTAGAGAGTCTCTTAAAGGGAGGCTACCTACTTAATGCTTGTGTTGTCTCCTGCTTTAATGTCAAGAGCCAATACAGAGAGTGAGGGGCTGACTAGTCTGTGCCCTGAGACTGACAAATTTTACAGTGGTGTTTCCCCTCTGTAAGAAGGGGGAACAGGGCACTTTCTAACAGTAGATCAGAAATTGAGGATATTCTAGTCCATCTTGATGGCTAAGCCAGTGAAAGGCTGTCTTGGAAAGCTGAAAATAAAGGAACTGCCCTACCGCGTTAGTTGTATGGACCTAGCAGCCCTTTTTCCAACAGCTCTGCTCTTCTGTAATCTCTTGCAACCATGTTTAAAGAATACAGGAGGTACTGAGAGCAATTGGGAGCAGCAGCCTGCCTGGAGGGAGGAAAAGCTTCCCCCCACCCTGCCTTGTGGATGAAATTAGAGACCTGCAAACACATGAGGAAGTTGATAACCTTGCATTTGAGCTCGGTGGTTAGTTGCTGTTTGAACTGTGGAAAGGAAGGGCTGCCTGGGATGTTGCAGCCTCCCACAAGGTGGTGGTGCTGCTCCACACAAGCCTTCACATTCCTCCTCGGCCACCAGCAAGCTCCATCCCCAAACACCAAGTACGAAAATGTTACTTTCCTCTTCTCAGTTCCCAGTCTGTGTACTTGGCCTGGGCAGATGGCACACAGCTGAACAAGAGGCAAAAAGCTGTAACGCTACATGAACATGAAATGCATGTTAATGCTGGATTATACATTAATCTATATGCAGCAAGCTGTACCTGTGGCTCCCCAGTAAGCTATAACCAGAGGGTCTGCTGCCCCGTGCTCCTTCCTTTCTTAGGAGGATGAGGGTGGCACAGTTAGAAATCGTTCTTGCCAAGAAAGCCTCAATAGTTGTCATCTTCTGGTGCCTCGTTCATTAATGCTACCCTGCATGCTTTCCTTGGTAGGATTTATCCCCACATGGAACAGGCTGTTGCTAAACACTTTTTCTCCCTTTTTCTTCACCTTGCATTTTTTCTTTATGTGAAGCCAAGGTCCAACTCCGAATTGTAGCCAATTCTTTCAAGTTGCTCATGTCCAATCTTGGGCAGTTGAGTGAGATTTAAACAGCTGTGCTGTCACCTAAGGTGAGTTCAAGGAGCTCCTTTGGTCTGCTTGTGGGTTTGTTCTGGCTCCTTGATCTCCTAGATCAAACTGCAGCAATATAAACTGGAGCCACCTATCCCTGGGAATGAGGGAACAGGGCTTGTACTGTGAGGGTGCTGCAGAGATGAGGCTGAATTCCTGCCTTGTGCACAACATCTCCAATCATCAGTGCAACGGGATGCCAGGCTGAGCATCAGGCTGCAACTGGGCGATGCAGACTGTAGCAAGGCAAGTGTCCCCTCTGCTTTCTAGAAACGCTACATCTCCTAAGGCAATTTTGCCTGGAGGGTGCTGCAATTGTGTGAACTTTCCAAGACAAGTCAGAGACCCCTTTGCAGATCCTCTGCATGATCCAAACACATCTGATCCCAGACTATAACTTAGACCCCAGGGGTAAAGCAAAAACAAAATTGTACAAGTCATAATAATCATAAGCTTTGTTCCATTATGCTGAAATCAAAACTGAGCAGCAGGGCCTGCCGTGGCCCTTGACAGCCCTCACGCTGATGGTGCAGTGGCCACACAGCACACGGAAGCCTGGCAGGGTCCCCTGCAGTTTCTGTTTTCCCAGGACATTTGCAGATGCTGTGCAGATGTCCTCTGTGAAGCCCCAGGAGTACAACCCTGTGGAGCCCAGGACCTTCAAGTCCCTTATCCTGCAGAAAGGCTAGAAAAGGGCATCAGGTGCTGAGGGTCATGGCAAGCTCATGTCGGTGCTGGACTCCTCCATGGACCACAGAAAAGCAAACCAACCCTGCCATCAGATACGGTCATGAGTTGCTTGCTTGTTCTTTTCTTTCTGGACACTGATGAGGCTTTATTATTATTATTTTTTTTTCCAGAGAAGTTTTCTCTTTGAACACATATGCTGGATCATAAAAATTCTGTACGATCTTTCCAAGACTTCCAAGACTTTCCAAGGCTAAAAGGCCTGGCAGCTTTGTAGAGAACAGCTATCAGGGAAGGAGCCTGCCCCTGCCTCCTTTCCAGGCATCACCTCAGCCCTCCACAGATAAGACATCAAGTCCCCAGGCTGGGAAACACCTTGAAGTAAACCTGCACGTCTCTATGGGTCATGTTTTTTGTAAGAGCAAAAGAGACAGGGGGAGATCAAGCAGCAGTTGCCAACCTGATGAAGGGTTAAGAGCATGGCCAAAGCATGTAGTAAAGGGCTGGTAGACTCATGGATATTTGGGGAAAAAACTCCTATGGCCTCTGATGACATTTGTTGCCAATCCTGCATTTTATGACAGCTGTTTTGTGGCATTATTGCAGCTCAGAGCCAGACACTGTGCAGGGGCAGAGTGGTGCACAGGCAGTCCCTTCCCAGACCTCAGCTGAGTGTGCTGCTGGGGCTGGCTCAGTTCCTTTCTCTCGTGTTCGCAGGAGGTTATTAAATTTTATGTTTTCTTTTATACTAACAGATATTTTTAAAGGCTGCAGAAAAAGCTGGGAGACAAAATGTTATATTTGATTCCAAACAAAAGGAATTCTGGATTTTTAGTTCCATTTAGCCTGCTTATAGTAAGCCCCTAATTTATTTTCTCATAGTTTTTATTGTTTTGTGTGATCTTTTCAATTATGTGAGCAAAACAGAAATCATTCATTTCCCAGCTGTATTCTGTGCTCCCAAGCTAAAATGTCTGCACAGTCTGTTAAACAAAGTTTCCTTTTTACTGGGGTCTTTAAAAAAAAAAAGTTATATTTCTACTACTTATTTCACTGCCTAAGAACTACAGTGGAAATAAAAGCTTAAAATGCCCATATTGATCCCTTGCTTAGGTACTTGCCTGAGCAAAGCCTGCTGCTGTTGGAGGCTCTGTAACTTTAACAAATGCTTTTCTCCTGCAGCAATGCTCCAGGAGTCAGGACCTCTATGCACAAACACTTGCAGGATCCCACTGCGTGGGCCAGACCCCTGTGTATAGGGAAATACAACACTGTTTCCTCTTAGAGTTTGGGAATTTTGTCCCCATCAGGCAGAAGACTAATCTCAGCCCTTTGTGCTGACTCTTCTGGTGTGGGGCTGGGGAAGCCCAGGTGAAGCCCATCATGTGGGGAGCCCTGGTAATTCAGCTCAGGTGTAGAGCAAGTGTTTAAGGGAGCCTTCAGGGACTAAGGGTTTGCAAAGGCTTTGATGAAGGTTTGGCTTATGTATCTGGGAAGTGTCATTGGTTCTGGGTGAGTTTAATAATTTTTAATTCAAGTTTTAAAGCATGCATGTTGGTTCTTTGGGATTCATCCCCTATTGTTCATCCATACTGGCTGTGTCTGGAGGGTGAGTTTCAGCATTTCTAGGCTTGTTGTTATGACTGTGGTAGCTAAAAGCTTTTATGAGAAACATGAGGCATCTCCTACCCTCAGTTTCTTAATCTAATGAGGCTATAGAGACCTGGGCAGTTGCTAGAAGGAGTACATAAACTGGGTTCAGATGTGACCATGGGAGAGATGAATGAAGCCTGAAAAAGATTGTGAGGGCAAGGGTGCTCTGTGTGCACATTTTTCCTGCCTTCCCTTCCCCTGCTGCTACAGTTACTGTCTCTTGAGCAATGGTGAGTGCCTGAATGCTGCTGCTGGCCCTGGGCAGCTCTCTGACAGCTGCATGAGGTTCTAGGTCCTGTGGCTCTGCTGGTGGTGCGAGGGCACAGGGCACTTGCCTCGTCCAGGAGGCAGAAGGGGTATTTCTTGCCTCAAGCACGTAGAGACACCTTGCAGTGTCCCCATCGTGGCCTCAGGCGTTCAAGTTGTATGCGGGAGGGCAGTTCTGGGGAACTCTGGGGTTAGAGGAGGGCAGTGTGTGCTCCTTTCTCTCTGCAGAGTTTGTATTTTTTTATAAACCCTTTCTTTCCTGAACTCTGATACTCCTCCTCTGTGTGCCTTGAGGGGAGATCTGCTTATAGACTAAACAAAGGTGGATGAAGGATGTGAGAATCTTGAACTGCTTTAGGGTGGAGGATTATATATATGTTTTTGATCTTAAAATAATTGTTTGTGGTTTTCTAGTTATGGCTTGGTGTGAGTTAAGTGTGTGTGTGGCGGGGGGGGGGGGTGGCATGCTATTAATTATCTGATTTTTTTCCCCTTTCCCTCCCAAGAGCTGTTTTGCTTTGGAAAGGAGGAATGGGTGTTTCCAGAATGAAATTTTTGAGAAACATAACAAAACTCCAGAAACAGGTGAAAGGGGCTACTGTGAAACAATCTGAACTACCTATAGAAAGTGCTGCGCTTCCGTTTTGTGCTTTATCTTCCTGCTTTGCTCTAGAGGTTTCAGACCTTGTCTTTTAAAGTTGAGTAGAAGTAAGCTGAGGGACTCATCCAGGTTTCTTGCAAAATGTCTGTTTTACCTCCAGGCTGTGAAATCACGTACAAGGCCCACTGGGCTAGAGGATAGCTTTACAAAATCTGTTTCCTTGGGTTCTGCCCCCTGCTTTTACGTGGAGACAGAGTCTTATCTGTGCCTGAGCTTGGAGATGTCTGATTGTGCTGATTCTGGATGTGTGTTAATGGGGTCCTATGACCTGAGCTGCATTTTAAAGGGTAATAATATATATATTTTTCTTTGAGTAACACTCTTAGGTGTGTGTGGGGGGGAAAATTACTGTTCTTCTCTTTCATCTGAGGGCAATGAGATGAGAGCTCAGAGAAGCTGTGGATGCCCCATCCCTGGAGGTGCTCAAGGCCAGGTTGGATGGGGCTCTGGGTAACCTAGTCTGGTGGGAGGTGACCCAGTCACAAATGAATTAGTTGTTAGACTAGATGATCCTTAAAGGTCACTTCCATCCCAAAAGATGCTATGATTCATGATTACTACTGTTAAGACCTCATTTGTGATTTGGAACTGGAAACTAGCCAAACTCAGCTGCTTGATCCTATTATGAATGTTTCCAGTCCTGATCTGGTGTTCTTGCTGCAGCTCCTCAGAGGAGCAGGCAGTTGTTTTGGATTTCAGCAGAAATCACCCTCCCTGCTATAGAGGGGCAGCAGGGAACCAACCTACAGCTTGCACTGCTGCTGAAACCTCTACATGTAGTGCAGAGATCTGTAAATGTATGTTTCTGCATTGTGTGGCTGAAGTAAATTCATGGTTTTTAAAGGAATAGGAAGAAATGTTTCCTTATGGCAGGGAAGGAGATAACAGATAACTTCCCCCCACCTCCCCTACCTCACTCTGCCTAGGAAATGCTTTGAAGCTGGGAAATAATTTGGTTCAGTGCTATGCCAATGAGCACTGGACACAGATGTGATCTGAGCTGGGAGGAGTGGGGAAGAAAGTGAGTGTTGGTGTAGCTTAGGAGCAGATTTCTAGCAACTGGTGTAAAGGTAAAGCCCTTCCTGTTCCCTCACTAAATCTTCAAAAAGTAATCAATTCTATTTCTAGTTTCCCTGTAGCTTGAGTAGTCCTGGCAGACAGCAGAAGCCCTCTGTGGGAGCTGAGAGCTCAGTGCCACGCAGCATCTTGTCCCTAGCTCATCACTGCCCTAAAACTGCTTCCTTGCTCAGAGCTGGTGTTCTGGGGATTTGTGAGTGTCTGTGGTAGTGGCTTGAACCATCCCTCACCCAGCTGCCAGGAAATGCCTGGGGCTGTATACTAGTGATTAGCACTCAATTTGATTTCAGTCCTGTGAGAGGAAATCTGTTTATGGGAGGAATGTTCTGCACGCCTTGATGAGGTGCCTTCTGGAATCAATTATCTGGAGTCTGCTGCTGATGTTGCCTTATTATTCGACTGCTTTCAATAACGACTGTCAGCGAGGGCTGGCAGCTCTGGTGCTCTTGCCTACACCAAGAAGTGCACAGAAGGATGTGTTAGTGCACCAGAACCCACCTGCTGTGGTTTCACCACTATGCCTGCAATACCTGCTGAGCTGAGCAGCTGGAACAGGGCGATGAGCTGTTTTTTTTCCTCCTGTTTCAGGTGATGCAGGGTCATTCAGCTTTCCTTTTAGCCCTGCTTCATAATTTTATTCAGGGAAATGTCTGTGGTTGACTTTAAGCTTCAACTCGACATCCTCATTTTTTTTTTTCTCCATAAAAGCTCTGCCCTGGCATTCCCTAAAGTCATTAACGACAATGACTTAAACCATATTTCAAATCTGTGATGTGAAACATCAACACATGAGGCAAAACATCTACAAAAAGCAGTTGAAGTGTGAATTGGTTAAAGAAATAACCACCAAAATATCCATCAAGATCACTACATCTGTCTAAAGGCACATGCTGTGATGAGACCAAGCCTGCCTGAGAACCCCTGCACCTCCTGTGCCCTGTCACTGCTGTCCTCCACGGACTTATTTCTAGAGATTCTTTTAGGAGAGCAGCACAATATTAATATTTTTTTGGATTGCTGCCACTGTTGTTTCTCATTTCCTTGGGTCTTGCAGCAGTTGAGAAACCGTGGAGGACCTGGGATCCTGTGGGTTTATCAAGGAACAGCATATCCTGTGGCTTCCTCAGAGGCAGAATTTTGCTGTGTTGTGAGTGTATATCATATATCAGTCCCTTGTACATTCGGGAGAGCTGGTATGGGGGAAGTGTAAGCTCAGCTCAATGTACTTCATGGCTCTAGGTGTGGGCAGCTGAGGCACTGATGACTGTGTCACTGCATGACCCCAGGTAAGTGACTGGAGCCACTGGAAGATCTCCCCCAGTAGAGAGGAAATCTGACTTCCATTGCCACATGAAGTACAGAGGCAAAGAAGGGTTTGCTGTATTGTCGTAGCCCTGTCTTAGTGATAAACTTTATCCCATTTATATCAATTTGCTTGGCTCCTGGTGGATAGGCTAGGATAGGTAATGTTCCAGGCTTGCTCTGTGTGTGTGGTGGAGCCTTGGCTTTTGTTCATCCCCCCATCAGGGATGCTGGCTGCCATTATCCTTCTGTTTTTTATTTATATTTTGGCATAGATCCTGATTTATATTTTTTAATCTTTCAGGGACAGGATAGACCCATGTACCCTATATGTTTTATTGGTTTATGGTACGTGAACGTGCAGGAAGAAGTCTTTAGGATCAGCTGTAAAATGTGCCTCTCCTTATGTAGAGAGCAGTAAGCAGCTGAGTGGGCAAGCCTCATCCCAAAGGATGCTCAGCCACCCGATCCACAAGCTTGTCAGAAGTTTAACTGGTTTCTAAAAAGCACTTGAGCTGAAGACTGAATTTAACAATAAGTTAAGAAATGCACTAAGTGTGCTCTCTTGCTATTGCGAAGGCCCATCTTTTATTTATTTTCTGTGGAAAAACCTGGGATCACTTGAAAAATTAAATGATGCTTTCTGTCTCACATCTAAGTGCCGTATGACAGGGTAATAACCAGCGATCCCATGTGCTGTCTGACTGCCTGTGGTCTCAGTTTGAAGGGCTGACAGCTTAAATAGCCTAATGAAGGTTTGGAAACCAGCACTGCTGCAGTCTTACAGACAAGGAACTAGGACATGGAGGTAGCCAGCTCTTCCTGTCAAGTCACTCAGGGAGGCTATGGCAGAGCCAGGAATCTCATCCAAATCTCCTAGTTACCTGAGCTGCTAAATCAGGCACTGCTTCCAAGGGGATTTTGGAGCTGGAGGGAGGCTTCTGCTGAGGCTGGTGGAGTAGAGCAGCGACTGAGGAGCTGTTTTCTGTTTTGAGGCTCCATTTAAGCTGCTTCAGAGCTAGCTCAGAAGCAACAGAGGCAAAAGCAGCCTCTTGCTTCAAATCAAAGCTTGGGCAACAGCACTGAAAGCTGTGCCTCACCTCAGGTGGGAAATCTTCCAAGTCTAAGTAGAAGAGCCTGGGGAGGGGTTACTCTTCCCATGGCATGGAGCTGTGGCACTGGTTTCTGTTTCTGCCACTGAGAGTCTGGAAGTGCAGTTTACAGCCCTGCAAATCCCATCTTCGGTAGTGGAATAATGAGAAGCAATCCCACGGTAATGTAAAAACACCTGACAATGGAACAAAAAGAATTAATGTGATGCTCCTCAACAGCAGGAACACTGCCCACTTCTGGGAACCTTTATCTCAGGAGGGGAAATCTGCTCTTGGTGATGCAGCTGAGAGATGTATTCACAATTACTTGTGGGCAGGGAAAGCAGTGTGCTGGTGTTAAGGCTGTACCAGCACAGCAGCACAGAGCTTTTCAGGTGCTGTGTAGGTCCTAATTCTGACCGTGCTGCTGTCCATGGCACAGATTAGAAATGTGATGTACA